CCCCATAGGGAGCTCCACCGAAGGCCCCAGTGGCTGCTCTCGCATGCGGTTCCCCCACCGAGGGCAGCGTTTCGTGGCCCCATAGGGAGCTCCACCGGAGGCCCCAGTGGCTGCTCTCGCATGCAGTTCCCCCGCCCAGGGCAGCGCTTCGTGGCCCCATGGGGAGCTCCACCGAAAGCCCCCGTGGCGCAGTTCGCATGCGCTTCCCCCACCCAGGGCAGCGTTTCGTTGCACCATAGGGAGCTCCACCGAAGGCCCCAGTGGGGTGTTCGCATGCGGTTCCCCCGCCCAGGGCAGCGTTTCGTAGCCCCATAGGGAGCTCCACCGAAGGCCCGCCCCGGTGGCGCAGTCCGCATGCGGTTCCCCCATCCAAGGCAGCGCTTCGTGGCCCCATATGGAGCCCCACCGAAAGCGGCACCCACAACGCGTTACCAACAATTGCTTATGGTTGGGTCTTTCGCCAGGATAATTTTTTTTCTGAGGGAAAGTCTTCCTCTTCAAACTGGGCCCCTGGCCCCCGGGTTACAACAACAACGGCTCTCGCTTAAGATTTCTTCATTATTTCGCCAGGACCCCCGCTCCCGCCTGAGACTTCATCGCATTTCACTCAGGAATCGCACTCTCGCTTGGGACTCCCTTACAAGTTCTTCAGGAATCGCTCTCTCGGCGCTCTGGAGTCGCGCTCTCGCTGGAGACTTGCTTGCACTCTACTCAAGAATAGCGCCCTTGCGTTGGAATTTCCCGGAATTTGCTCAAGCGCCGCGCTCCCGACACTCAGGCACCCAGGAGTCGCGCTCACGTTTAGGACTCCCTCACATATTACTTTGGAATCGGAATCTCGCTGCCCTTCGTGGTTTCGTTGCAGCCCTTTGCTCTCCCGCTGCCCTTCGTGGACCCGTTGCAGCCCTCGTGGCCCCCTCGCTGCCCTTCGTGGCCCCGTTGGAGCCCTTCGTGGCCCCCTCGCTGCCCTTCGTGGCCCCGTTGCAGCCCCTGGTGGCCCACTCGCTGCCCTTTGTGGCCCCGTTGCAGCCCTTCGTGGCCCCGTTGCAGCCCTTCGTGGCCCCCTCGTTGCCCTTCGTGGCCCCGTTGCAGTCCTTCGTGGCCCCCTCGCTGCCCTTCGTGGCCCCGTTGCAGCTCCTGGTGGCCCACTCGCTGCCCTTTCTGGCCCCGTTGCAGCCCTTCGTGGCCCCGTTGCAGCCCTTCGTGGCCCCCTCGTTGCCCTTCGTGGCCCCGTTGCAGTCCTTCGTGGCCCCCTCGCTGCCCTTCGTGGCCCCGTTGCAGCCCCTGGTGGCCCACTCGCTGCCCTTTGTGGCCCCGTTGCAGCCCTTCGTGGCCCCGTTGCAGCCCTTCGTGGCCCCCTCGCTGCCCTTCATGGCCCATCTATGTATGCTCTTCGTGGCCCCCGCTCGTTCGCGCCCGATGTGGCCCCATACGCATTCCCTTCGTGTCCCCGCTGTCGCCCTGCGTGGCCCCCTCGCTGCCCTTCGTGGCCCCGTTGCTGCCCTCAGTGGCCCCGTCCTTGCCGTCCGCGGCCCAATATACGTATGCTCTTCATGGCTCCCGCTCGTTCGCGCCCGTCGTGGCCCCAGATGCATGCCCTTTGTGCCCCCCTCGCTGTCCTACGTGGCCCAGTTGCTGCTCTCAGTGGCCCCGTCGTTGCCATCTGTGGCCTCGCTGCCCTTCATGGCCCATCTATGTATGCTCTTCGTGGCATTCCCTTCGTGTCCCCGCTGTCGCCCTTCGTGGCCTACTTCGTGCCCTTCGTGGCCCTGCTGTCGTTCTCTCTCTCTCGCTCTCGCTTTCGCTCGTCGTCGTCGTCGTCGTCGCCGTCGTCGTCGTCATCGTCGACGTCGTCGCCGCCGTCGTCGTCGTCGTCGTCGTCGTCGTCGTCGTCGTCGTCGTCGTGGTCGGTCCCCTGTCCGTCCCTCCTGGGGTCGGGTTGCCGCCGATCAGCGCTGCCGCTGGCCAGGCCGACGGTCCGCGGCCGCCCCGCCGCTTGCCGGGGCCTGTCCTGCAGGGAAGGAAGGTACACCCCCCAAAGGGGTACGATCGAAGACGAAGAGGGCGGGTGTCGAGGGTTTGGGAAATACGCGTTAACGGGCCCTCGAGCAGATAAGAGGGAACAGTCTTACATTCATTATTGTCGTTGTTGTTGCTGTCGCTGTCGTTGTCGTTGGTTTTGTTGTCGTGGTTGTTCTCGTTGTTGTCATTGTTGTTGATGTTGTCGGTGCTGTTTTTGTTGTGGTTGTTAATGTGGCGGCTGGTGTTGTGGTTGTTGCTGTCGTTGTAGTCGTTGTTGTTGCTGTTGTTGTTGCTGCTGCTGTTGTTGCTGTTGGTTTTGCTGTTGTTGTTGCTGTTGCTATTGTTTCTGCTGCTGTTGCTTTTGCTGTTGTTGTTGTTGTTGTGGTTGTGGTTGTGGCTGGTCGTGGTTGTTGTTATTGTTGCTGTCGTCGGCGTCGTCGTCGTTGTTGTTGTTGTTGTTGGTGTTGTTGTTGCTGTTGTTGCTGTTTTTGTTGTTTGTTGCTGCTGCTGTTGTTTTTGTTGTGGTTGCTGTGGTTGTCGTTGTCGCTGTTGTTGTTGGTATTGTTTTTGTTGTTGTGGTTGCGTTGATTTTGTTGCTGCTGTTGCTGCTGTTGTTGCTGCTGTTGCTGTTGTTGCTGTTCTCAGAACATACCGTTGCTCTGAGAGCACGTCGTGGTCGGCCAATGGGAAGGCCGGCCCCTTCTCCAGAGTTCCAGAACTCCGAGGCCGGGGAAGGCAGAGGAGCTCGGCGGGCACGCCCGCGAGGGGTGAGGCCTCGGCCGTCGTCCGCCGGCCCAGGACCACCTGGACTACCACCACCTCGACCGCATGCTGCGCACCACCGGGCAGACGATCGTGCCCCGCCCGGGGCCGCCGCGAGCTCCCGCCGCCGCGCCGCCCCCCCCCCCTCCTCCTCCCTCCTCCCTCCTCCGCCTCCTCCCTCCTCCTCCTCCTCCTCTTCCTCCTCCTCCTCCGCCTCCTCCTCCTCCTCCCTCTCCTCCCCTCTCTCCCTCCTCCCTCCTCCTCCTTCTTTCTCCTTTTCTCCTCCTCCCCTTCCTCCTCCTCCTCCTACTCCTCCTCCTCCTCCTCCTCCTCCTCCTCCCTCCTCCGATGCCTCCCCCCTCCGCCGCGAGCTCCCGCCGCCGCCGCTCCCACCGCTTGGCCCCTCAGCCAACGAAGACGGCCCGAGGGAGCTGCGTGCTTCTTGGGGCCGAAGGTCCGAGGAGGAACAGTTTCCGATGCAGCCACCCGTACCTCGTTTTCGCCTCTCTGGGCCTTCTGGGAGGCCCTCGAGCTCGTCAGCACCGCTGGATTCGCTTCGACATTCTGGTCAGAACGCACCCCGGGAGAGGTCCAGGGAGCAGCAGCATCGGGTCCTGATGGCTTCCCCAGAAGGCGATGTCAACAGACGCGCAATCCTCTCAAGCCGGTGCGAGCATGGCACCAGAGCAGTGGGGGTCGAAGGGCGCCGCCTCTGCAGTGTCCCCCCACGTCCGACGGGGTACACCGATCACATCAGCAATCTTAACAAGCAAACGCCAACGTTCATGGGCTATGGATGTCGATCGTGGACGCAATTGAATGCTATGGACTGGGCCCTATGCGTTTTCTTAGAGCTTCGTCGTAGCATCGGTCGATCTGGACCTGGACTACTGCTGAAGACAACGCTCGGAGGGAAGTCAGTTGGTTGTCTTAGCCTGGCACTTTGCTTTTGACTCCAAGCAGGGATGTAGCTTTTCGAGACGCGGACTCCTGAGTGCTCGACTGTCGTCGACCGCTTCTGGGGGGGTCCGCCCTTCCATCCAGTGTCCTGCTGTATGACTGCCCGATGGCCCCGACATTCTCATGACCTCCAGGGGCCCAGGCTCGCCAACAGAACGGCGCGGACTCCTGAGTTCTCGACTGTCGTCGACCGCTTCTGGGGGGCTCCGCCCTTCCATCCAGTGTCCCGCTGTATGACTGCCCGATGGCCCGACACTATCGTGATTTCCAGGGACCCAGGCTCGCCAACAGAAAGGCGCGGACTCCTGAGTTCTCGACTGTTGTCGACCGCTTCTGGGGGGTCCGCTCTTCCATGCAGGGCCCTGCTATACGACTGGCAGATGGCCCCGACATTCTCATGACCTCCAGGGGCCCAGGCTCGCCAACAGAACGGCGCGGACTCCTGAGTGCTCGACTGTCGTCGACCGCTTCTGGGGGGGTCCGCCCTTCCATCCAGTGTCCTGCTGTATGACTGCCCGATGGCCCGACACTATCGTGACCTCCAGGGGCCCAGGCTCGCCAACAAGAAGGCGCGCCGCGCCAGCTCTCCCGCGACGCGCTCGGAGGTCTGGGGCCCGCCCGCCGAACATCCGCGGCTGGCCGCCCCCCGCACTCCCCTCGGCATCCTTCGGACGTGTGCGTGTTTGTGTCGTCGGCGAGGGCCATCGAGGAGCATCCTGGGGTCCTCGTGCGAAGCACAATGGAGACCACGCGCGACACCGACAAGTGCGCGGGGAACGGTGATCGTTGTTTATTCATTGTTTTGCCGATCGGCGCGGGCCCTCGCACCCCACCTCCCCACCCCCCCTGGAGCAGATCTCGGCTGCTTTTGTTGGAGCCTGTCTCAAGAGCAGGTGGAGCCTCCCCCATAGGACGCACTGCTGCAAACAGTCGCATTAAGCAGAGGTCCCCCCCTTCCGCCCAATGTCAAAACGCCGAAGAAGAAAATGCTGACAGTGTCAGAGCCCCAAATCATCAGGGGTAACTCGGGTCAGGGCAAACTCGGGTTCGTTTTTTCGGGAATCCGAACCCGAGTTACCTCGGGCCCGAGTTACCCCGGATAACTCGGGCGTCCAGGGCCCCAAATCATCCAGGCGTAACACGGGTCAGGGCGTCAGGGCTACCTCGGGCTCGTTCTTCGGGAATCCAAATTCCGAGCTACCCCGGGCCCGAGTTGCCCCGAATAACTCGGGCGCCCAACAAGGACCTCCGAGCGGTGGCAGGCTCCCCCCTCGCCCGCCTCGGAAACTGGAGAATATGCATTGCCAGTGGCGTGTGGTTTTTCGGTCCCCCGACTTTTTGGAGGGTCGGGGACGACGTCGGGGTTGTGTGGTGTATACTCTCTCCCCGTTTTCCCGGGGAAACGGCGACGAATGTGTACACCAGGATCCCGTATGCACCAGGACCCGCTCCATTCTTTAAGTTCAATGATAGGACTGTTAGGGTGTCGGAAAGGATCTTGGCCCCCCAAAAAGTCCAAGGAGCTCTCGAAGAATGATTAGACATGAGCACGTTCGAGGGCGCGCTCGCCCTCCGCCGAGGGCGCGCTCGCCCTCCTGCGGCGGCGGCCATGCCGCGGGCGCGGGGCCGGCGACGACAGCGTTGTGGATGCCGCTGCTCGCCGAGGGCGCACGGCAAGCCCAGAAGCTCGCTTCGAGGGGGAAGAAGCGCCATAAGCATACACTGCGTCCATGTCTACTAATTCTTCGAGAGTTCCTAGGTCTTTTTTTGGGGGGGGCCAAGGTCCTTTGCTTTCTGATTCTTCTATGCTGGGCCTCTTCCTGACCACCTGAGGGGCGGGGAACAATAGTAGGAACGAGCAGAATTAGAGACGAGCACGATCAGAAATGAACGACGTGTAAACTTGTGGCGCTCCGCGCGGATTTCTTGGATCCGCGCTGGGCCCCCCCCCCCCTGCGGCGCCTCGGGCGCCGGTTCTGGCGCGCTCCGCGCGCCAGGGAGGGGGGGTCCAGCGCAGACCCAAGAAATCCGCGCGGAGCGCCAACAGTTTATGTCTATGGCATCTTCTGGTGCCGTTCTTCGACGCACCCGCGTGGGCGCAGGACGCTCTCTCAGGGTGCGCTGGGGGAGCGGCGCTTCGGCTCCCTGCTGGCCTCCTGGTAGAGCCAGCCACGCGCAGAGGGGGGTGGGGGGAGGGGGGGAGGGCTTCTTAGAAGCGCCCCTGCTTCTTAGAAGGCGCGGGCCTTATCTATGGATGTGAGGCCGGCGCCTTCTAAGAAGCAGCCTCCTTCTAAGAAGCCCTCCCCCCTCCCTCCACCCCCGTGTGCGCGCCGCCAATAGAGGGAGGCTCCGAGGCGCGCAGGCTGCCCACTCGCTCCGCGAGCCCCCCGCTCCCGCCGAGCGTCTGCGCCGCGGCCGCGGGAGCCCCCCGCGCGGCCCCCAGTCGTGCGCCGGAGGGTCACCGCCTGGGAACTGTGGGCATCGCTCGGACGTGTGCATTTTTTTCTCGGCGGGGACCATCGAGCAAGACAAGCAAGGCAACGATCATCGAGCAAGACAAGCACGACAAGCATCCTGGATCATCGAGCAAGACAAGCACGCACAGAGCCGACAAAACGCACAGGGAGGGGACGTCCGAGCGGCGGCAAAGGGGGACCGCTCGCCGCAGAGATGGCGCTCGGGCGGCCGCTGGAGGCCGCCGCACGGAGGCTCTCCGACAAGACTGCCCCGCCAGCGCTGCGGCGAGGCGGGGCAGGCGCTGCGGCGGAGCACCGCCGCCCGTGACCCACGGGGGCTCTCGCGGGCGGGCCCGGGGGCAGCACGCCACCAAGAAGGGGAGAGAAAGAGAGAGAGAGAGAGAGAGAGGATAGAGAGAGAGAGAGAGAGAAAGACAGAGAGAGGGACCCGGCCCTGTGTCGGCTGCTGGCCCGGGATGGCAGTGAGAGGGAGAAGTCGGGGCCCGAGCGACGGGGGTCGATGCAAGCGGGGGTCAGTAGGAGCGCCAGATCTTGCAGGATCCTGCAGGGCCAGGGTGCACTGACCTAGGTCCTGGATGCAGGGTCTTGCCGGATCTTGCAGCATCTTGCAGGATCCTGCACCGCCTGACCGACCCGGGTCTGCATTGACCCAGGTCAGTTGATCCCAGGGGAAGGCCTTCTCGGAAGGCTCGGGAGTCCCCCGGCCTTCTGAGAAGTTTCCTTCAAGCCTTCCCCGCAGACGCAGAAAACTTCTCAGAAGGCCGGAGCGCTTCTGCGAAGCCCCGCCGCCTTCGGAGAAGGCCTTCTGCTTCTCACTTCCCCCCCTCGCTCGCCGCCGACTCTAGGCCCTGGTGGCCAGCCTGGAGCCACAGCTCGGAAAGAGCGCGTTCTGTGGTCGCTTGGAGGGGGGGGGGGGTTGGAACCGGACCCCCCCCCTGCATGGTGGGGGGGGGGGTCGACCCCCCCCCCTTCCCCTACTTCTCCTCTCTCCCTCTCCTCGGCTGGCGGCGGCGGCGGGGACGACGATTTCCTTTTCTGGGCCGGCGCCAGCGCCTGCGGCGGCGGGCGGCGGCGGGGAGCGTCGACGAGGACGACGGTGGTGGTGGTGGTGGTGGTGGTGGTGGTGGCGGTGGTGGTGGTGGGTTGTGGTGGTGGTGGTGGCGGTGGTGGTGGTGGCGGTGGTGGTGGTTGTGGTGCTTGTGGTGTGGTGGTTTGTTGTTGTTGTGGTAGTGGTGGTGGTGGTTGTGGCGGGTGGTGGTGGTGGTGGTGGTTTGGTGGTGGTTGTGGTGCTGGTTTGTGGTGGTAGTGTGGTGGTGGTGGGTTGTGGTGGTGGTTGTGGTGGTGGTTGTGGTGGTGGTGGTGGTGTGGTGGTGGTTGGGTGGTGGTTTGTGGTGGTAGTGGTGGTGGGGGTTTGTGGTGGTGTGGTGGTTTGTGGTGGTGGTGGTGGGTTGTGATGGCGGCGGTGGTTTGTGGAGGCGGTGCTGGTGGTGGTGGTGGTGGTGGCGGTGGTGGTGGGGTGTGGTGTGGTGTGATGGTGGTTTGTGGTGGTAGTGGTGGTGGTGGGTTGTGGTGTGGTGGTTTGGTGGTGGTGTGGTGGGGGTTTGTGGTGGTGTGGTGGTGGTGGGTTGTTATGGTGGCGGTGGTTTGTGGAGGTGGTGCTGGTGGTGGTGGTGGTGGCGGCGGTGGTGGTGGTGGTGGTGGTGTGGTGGTGGTTTGTGGTGGTGGTGGTGGATTGTGCTGCTGGTAGTGGTAGTGGTGGTTGTGGGCGCGGTGGTGGTGGTGGTTGCGGCGTGGAAGCTTGTGGTGGCGGTGGTGGTAGTGGTGGTGGGTTTTTATGGTGGTGGTGGTGGTGGTGGTGGCTGTGGTGGTGGTGGGTTGTGTGGTGGGCTGGAGGTGGTGTTGGTGGGTTGTTGTGTGGTGGGTTGGTGGTGGTGGTGGCGGTGGTGGTGGTGGTGGTGGTGTGGTGGTGGTTCTCGTCGCTGCGTCCCCGCCGTCGCCAGCGCCAGCGCCGGCGCTGCTGGCCGCCGCCAGCGCCGGCGCTGGCGCCGAGGGGGGGGGGTTGAACCTCCCCCCCCCCTTGGGCTGCCTCTGGTCATCGTCGCTGCGTTCCCGCCGTCGGCTCTGCTTGCGGCCGCCGCCGGTGCCGGCGCCGAGGGGGGGGGGGTCGGGAAGGTGGGGGGGGTTGGGGCGACGGCGCCGAATGTTGGGGGGGGCGCCAACCGCCCCGGATCGAAACGCGCCGCCGAATGTTCCCAAGGTAAGCGCCCGTGAAACGCGTTCTCTCAAAGCTCGCTGGTGGCGCTGGAGCCCGCGAGAGGGGACTCTCGTACAGTCAGCCCGCATAGTAAGGATGAAGAGCTTTCCAGGGTTGCCCCTGCGTCCTTCCCCTTCGGCCCATCCTTGGCCGCTTTCGCTGGCCGCGCCCCGCTCGCAAAGTGTCGACATGGCCTTCCAGGGCCCTGGCTGACCCAAAAGGGGGTCCAGCTACAAGGGGGTGGTGCAATAGATCTGGTGCATGCACCACCCCCATTCAGCTGGACCCCCCTTTTGGGTCACCCAAAATGGCCTGTGCACCCTTCCCCAAGAGCGCGGAGGCGCCCGCAGCCCGCATCCTGCGCTCCGCGGCCTGGGCCTGGGCCGGGGAGCGTGTGTAGTCGCCAAAGCGACGGACACATGCTGAACACGTAGTGCCTTCCATAAGTCTAGAAGTGTAGCCTTCATGCATGTTGGAGCGGCTGTGCGCGGCGCTACGGCGAGAGTGCCGCATGTTCAAACTTATCGACAGTGTTTCTGTGTGGCTGTTGTTGTTTAGGCGAATGCGCGCCTTGCTGAAGCCAGAACTTCATGGCCAATGCGACTTGCCTTCCCTTTGTGCAACTGCTGGGGGTTTCAGGGTTCAGAGGCAGAGCGTGCAGCGATGTATCAAGCGAAATGCGCCGCCCAGCCTGCAGAGATGCTGGGTGGTGCGAAGGGGAGGGGTGCTTCAAAAAATAGAGGGAAAGAGGGAGAGACAAAAGGGGGGCATGGAGGAGGAGGAGGAGGAAGAGGACGAAGAGGAGGAGGAGGAGGAGGAGGAGGAGGAGGAGGGGGAGGAGATGTTGTGGGAGGAGACACAGTGGCATCTCTTCTTATATACTTGATCACATCCAGGTTGGGGTCCCGCCAGGGCCCCCCCACGCCAAGGGCCCATCAGTCGGAGGAGACGAATCGACCGCAGCGTTCACTGGAGACGGGGAGCAGGATCAGCAGCAGGAGGAGGGGGGGCACAGGAGGGGGAGGAAGGCTGGGCAGGAACGAGAAGGGTGGGGAGGAGGACGGCAGGAGGAGGAGGAGGAGGACGAGGAGGAATGGGAGGAGGAGGGTGGGGGGGGAAGGTTGCCCCCCCCCCCCAACCCACCCGCGACGCGGGGGGCCCGATGCAGACCCGCCCCGCGGTGCGCGCGGCGGACGCCGCCGGGGCCCAGGTGCTGCTGACCGCGGGCAACGGCCTGATCCGCCCGGCCTCGCGGGAGGAGCGCGGCAGGGCCTGCCGCGCGGGGCGGCGCGCGTGCGAAGGAGGGGGATGGTTTTGGTGGTGGTGGTGGTGGTGATGATGATGATGATGATGATGATGATGATGATGATGATGATGATGATGCTGAGGATGATGATGCTGATTAGATAATGATGATTAGGATGATGACGATGATGATGAGGATGCTGCTGATGATGATGATGATGAGGATGCTGATGATGATGAGGATGCTGACGATGACGATGACGATGACGATGATGATGACGCTGATGCTGATGATGATGATGATGATGATGATGATGATGATGACGCTGATGATGACGATGATGTTGCTGGTGCAGGTGTCGATGATATGGTGATGGTGATGGTGATGGTGATGATGATGATGCTGATCATGCTGATCATGCTGATGATGATTATTATGATGAGGGTGATGCTGCTGCTGATGATGCTGATGATATGGCGATGCTGATGATGGTGATGATGACGATGATGGTGCTGCTGCTGCTGATGATGATGATGATCTGGTGGTGATGATGCTGCTACTGCTGATGATGATGACGCTGATTATGAGGATGCTGATGATGGTGATGCTGACGATGAGGATGATGGTGCTGATTATGATGATGATGTTGATGCTGTGAGGATGATGATGTTGATGATGCTGATGATGATGGCGATGATGATGATGATGATGATGATGATGATGATGATGATGATGATGATGATGATGATGATGATGAGGCTGATGATGATGATGACGATGACGATGACGATGATGATGATGATGATGATGATGATGATGATGATGATGATGATGATGATGATGATGATGATGATGATGATGATGATGATGATGATGGGAAGGAGTAGGAGGAGGAGAAGGAGGAGGAGGGGAGGCCGTGGGAGGGGCAGGTTGATGATTGGGGGTGATGATGATGGTTGTGGTTGTGATGGTGAGCAGTGGGAACGACAGGACGCTGATGAGGATGGACTGAGGGAGGGAGGACCAGAGTAAGCCCAGGATGCACCAAGGATTCTACAATACACTTTCCCGTTTGAAGCCCCCTCCGAGTGAGCCTCTACGAGAGCCAACCCATCGAGGGAGGCCGTCCAGTATAGCATGGTAGCTTACAGCGCATACCACGCTTGCATCCGGATTGAACACCCTGTCCCTCATGGCGGTTTTGTCTCACGATTTGAGGCTGCTTATCGTTCTCTCACGTTGGCGCCACCGAACATACGGGCCCTTTATTATCAGTTTGCTGGAGATCCGCTCTGGCGCAAACCTCCTGCGCCTGCATCTTGGGCTCCTGCTGTGCCCACATTGGTGGTTGCAGCGCCGAGCCTGTAGACGCACGCCAGTCCATCGAAGGCTTGCTGGACACGCCCTCAGGCTTCTCGCTGAATCGAGGTGAGACAGAGACCCCACCCTGACACGTCGATTTGTGAGTTGTCCGTTTTCGGTTCGCGAGAGGGCGCCGCGGCCGTCATTTTCCAGGCTTGCGCCCGCCTGTCTTTTTTTTGCCCGAGGTCGTCTTCACTAAGCCACGTTTTGCTAAAGGGGGCCCCTGCCCGTCCCCGCTTCTCGCTGGTCGAGCCCATGATTTTCCAAACTCTGCCCCGGCGACTCCCCGACATGCTGCATCAAGCAGCCCTCGCCCTTGACGCCTCCGCCTTGTCGCTCCCCAAGCGGTTTTCCCGCCCACCGACTCCTGCGGCGACGCGGCCTTGGTTTCCCCGGCGGCACTGGCGGCCTGCTCGACCCCCGCGACGGCGATAGCGACGCGTCTGGCCTAGCTTTTCGCGGGGCATGTTTCCCTACAGGGGGAGTTTTGCAAAATAGTCAGGGGACGATTTTTCTGACTATGTTTTGACTTGTTTGGATTTGTTTTTGGACATTTTCTAGTTTTCGTCCCAAATCCGCCTGTAGGAGGACACGCCCGACCTAGGCCTAGCTGTGTTCGGCGACACCTTCGACGCTGCTTGCCAGGCCGCCCTCGCAAGCGAGATCTCTGCGCACGTGGTTCGACTCCCGCCCCGTGCAGTGCGCAGAGGAGCCTCCAGATGGCCAGGAGGTGCTTGGAGATGATCGTCACTCATCCGATTCGGCGTCTGACGATGCTCGCTGGCTTGAGGCTCCGACACCACAGTCTCCGTCGAGGAACTCGGGCGCTACTTCCAGGAGTCGCCTGGCCGCAGCCACCATCCGAGGATACGTTCTTCCCTGCAGCACTCTGCCTCCTCCTCAATTCCTTTTCCTCATAATTAACTTCTCCCTGTCGCACCCCGAGGCCAGTTTTTAGGGCGGGCCGGGCGTTTCGCCTGAGACCTCCTCACCATGTATGACTCTGAGGCTCAACAATTTGCAACAGCTTCACATATGGAGGGCGGGTGGTTTTCAAAATGTGGCTCTCGCCTTGGCGCCGCGCACATTCGTTCTCAAAAATCGCAAGAGCTTCACGGATTGAGGGCGGTCCGTTTTCAAAATGTGGCTCTCGCCTTAGCGACGCGCGCATTCGTTCTCAAAAATCGCAAGAGCTTCACGGATTGAGGGCGGTCTGTTTTCAACATGTGGCTCTCACCTTAGCGCCGCGCAGCTTCGTTCTCAAAAATTGCAAGAGTTTCACGGGTTGAGGGCGGTCTTTTTTCAAAACGTGGTTCTCGCCTCAGCGCCGCGCACATTCGTTCATACATGTGTCAAGAGTTGCACGGGTGCCCACGATCACGTACCAGAAATGGCGTTCTGGAAGGATTCAAGATTTTCGGGCGCAACAGTTACGTCGAGTCGCGGCGTCGAAATCCCAAGAATGGCGTTCTGGTACGACCGAGGATCGTCAAGACGCAACAGTCAGGTTGATTCGTGGCGTTGAAATCCCGAGAACAATGTTTTGGCATGCTTCCGGGTCTTCAAACGGTTGTCGTCTAACGGGGCAGATCCCTCAATGGAAATGAACCGTTGTAGGGGCCTATGAAGAGGGAGCTTGGAGGGAGAGTGTATTCCAACATCGTTGATAGCTCTTGGGTTTACACTGGTCCTCCTCCTTCTCCTCCTCCTTCTCTCACCCGTCATTCCCCCTCCTGCTGTGGGCCCTCTTTTGCCGTCGTTGCTGGTATGTGGCGTCTGTGGACAGCAGTTCTCAATTTTTTCCGTACCCGCTGGAGAGGCAATCTTGCCGTGCTTTTTGAAGTACTCTTGCCTGCACCCCATTGTCACGCTTATGCTATCCTGCAAGTATCTTTGAGGCCTGTTCTTCACTTCCGTCCTAATGGGAGCTGGTCCTAATGCTTCCATAGTAAGCTTGCGTGCATTCGCCCCCTTGTGCGTTAACCATCTTGTTTTCTGACGCGTGCGGTGTCCTGTGGAGCTCGACTTCCGTCCGTTTCCTGACATGCACGCATGTCTGCCCGAGGCTTCGCTTAGAATAGTATGCGGCCGCGGGCCCTCATTACGCGCCTTTGGGCTTGTGGACGGTAGGTCGCGTTGGCGTCATTTGCTTGGGCGGTGGGGCTTGGAATGCCGAGTAGGTTACTGACAAGATCTATTCAAGCTGATTTTAATTTTGTTTCCGCGATTCGTGGGGGTACTGCTGAACGGCATGCCATCCTTGGAGTATTTTGTGCGTTGTCCCATGCCCAGGCGTTCTTTGCCCCCCCCCCGTGGGGCAATGACACCTGACGGGCAGCGTCGCCTGGGAGCCCGGGAGGGCTCCGCGCTTTTCGTGTAGATTTGTGGAGGTCGATTAATGGAGAGGAAGCATGCTGCCACATAATTTCCAGATGTCTAACAGATGAGATATGCTTTAAACATGCTAAAAACATGTGTGAAACATTTTTAGAATGTGTTTCACACATTTCAAACACATCCTTAACTCAATGATCGGATTGTTAGAGTGCCCATTGTCACCTGCAACTATTCGTTTCCCTGCGGGGAACGTCTCCTTGAAAGACAAGCACTCCGTCCGTGGGCCTACCTTTCTGGTTGGCTTGTCTTGTTTTTGACCCTACCACGTGCGCCCCCGGCCGATGGTCGGCGGCGCGCCAGGGGGGGAAGTGAGAGTGCCCGGGCCTTCTCATCACGCTCTGAAGCCCCTGGGCCTTCCGAGAAGCTTTCGAGGCCTTCCCCGACGACGTACACGGAAAGCTTCCCAGAAGGCCCAAGGGCTTCTGAGAAGTCCCGCCGCTCTGTGAGAGGGCCGCCTCCTCCTCGCTTCCCCCCCCCGCTCGCCGCCGGTGTGGTGAGGAAGGCAACGCGGGAGGTTTCAGGAGGAGAAAAAACACACAGACACAATGAATCGTCGATTCCCAAGAAAATATGGGAAAATATGGGAAGTGGGGGGGAAGACAGAAACCCAGAAAATATTGGAAAATATAGGGAATGCTGTTATTTGTGTGTGTATTTATTTGTGTGTCCCAGGGCCCCTTCATTCACGCTCGAGTGCAGGATATGTCTGGTGGTCTCCTCGCCTGCAGCGAGGAGACACGTCCAGGAGCCGCTGGCATCCCGACTGCACAGGTGCCGCCACACGCATCGGACCGCGTGCTGCTGACGCCGTGCGCTCGCGGCTGCATCCACACCTCCACGACGACGCTCTCTAAGGACATGGGATCCAGCAGCACACCTTCAGCCTGGTGGTCGCCATCCACGGTGGGGAGGGCATCCCAGACTGCACGATCCCGGGGAAGTCCGCGCGGCACTCGGTGTGCGGCACGTGCGCGCGCGCGGCGACATCCCCGGATCTCATTGTTAGACGCCCCCCCCTTAACGCGGACACCGACGACGCGATCTTAAGCTCGAAAGCCGCGATACTCGACGAGGGCTATGATGTTCCAACCTACCTTAGCCTGACAACCAGGAAGATGTTCGAGCACCGCGATGCTCGCTCGACTCTGTTTCGATACTAATCCCGGTGCCCGACATTATCTCTGGGATGCGGCCTCTGAGTGCGAGGGGAGCAGCACAAGACGAGGAGGAGAAGAAACACACAGACACAATCAATCGTCGATTTCCCAGAAAATATGGGAACATATGGGCAGCGTGGGGGGAGACAGAAACCCAAAAGATGTGGGAATATATTGGGAATCCTGTTATTTGTGTGTATTTCTTTGTGTGTCCCTGGGCCCCTGCATCAGACGAGGAGGGCGTCTTGGACTGCGAGGCCTCGGCGCAGCTGCAGGGGCGCCACCCCGGGAGCACGGCGTCCCGGCGAGCCCGAGAGAGAGCCCAGAGAGGTCGAGGCCCCAGGCCACGGCCAGCGCCGCGGCCCCTCCCGCCGGCATCTGGCCAGCGCGCCCGCTGCCACGGAGGTCGTGCCCCACGACCTCCTCGTGGCAGCGGCTGATTGATGCAGGCCTCGGACACACAAATCAACAAAAGCGAACGCGCATGCCGCACTCATCGGTCAGCACACCTTCCCCTTCCCTGCCTCGGAGGTCGTGCCCCACGACCTCCTCGTGGCAGCGGCTGCTCGATACAGGCCTCGGACAGACAAAACAAAAAAAAGCGAACGCGCATGCCGCACTCATCGGTCACCACGCCTCCCCCTTCCCTGCCTCGGAGGTCGTGCCCCACGACCTCCTCGTGGCAGCGGCTGATCGATACAGGCCTTGGACAGACAAAACAGAAAAAGTGAACGCGCATGCCGCACTCATCGGTCAACACGCCTCCCCTTTCCCTGTCTCGGAGGTCGTGCCCCACGACCTCCTCGTGGCAGCGGCGGATCGATTCAGGCCTCGGACACACAAAGAGAAAGCGAACGCGCATGCCGCACTCATCGGTCAACACGCCTCCCCCTTCCCTGCCTCGGAGGTCGTGCCCCACGACCTCCTCGTGGCAGCGGCTGATTGATACAGGCCTCGGACAGACAAAGAGAAAGCGAACACGCATGCCGCACTCATCGGTCAACACGCCTCCCCCTTCCCTGCCTTGGATGTCGTGCCCCACGACCTCCTCGTGGCAGCGGCTGATTGATACAGGCCTCGGACAGACAAAGAGAAAGCGAACACGCATGCCGCACTCATCGAACAACACGCCTTCCCCTTCCCTGCCTCGGAGGTCGTGCCCCACGACCTCCTTGTGCAGCGGCTGATTGATACAGGCCTCGGACAGACAAAGAGAAAGCGAACGCGCATGCCGCACTCATCGGTCAACACGCCTCCCCCTTCCCTGCCTTGGATGTCGTGCCCCACGACCTCCGTTCGGCAGCGGCTACTACAGGCCTCGGACACAAACAAAATGCGAACGCGCATGCCGCATTCATCGGTCAACGCCTTCCCTATCCCTGCCTCGGAGTCGTGCCCCACGACCTCCTTTTGGCAGCGGTTGATGCAGGCCTCGGACAAAAAAAGCGAACACGCATGCCACACTCATCGGTCAACACGCCTCCCCCTGCCCCCAAGGTGCAAAGTTGGCGGTGGGTCTAATGAGTTCCACTTCGACCGCAGCCTCCCCCGCCCGTACCAACTTTGAGTTTGTCGGGTCGGGCGAAAGGGGGGGATAGCAAAGGGGGGGGTTGAATCAGCTCACGTAGCTGATTTTCCCGGCGCCTCCCGGCGCTGTAGGTGGCCATGTATCGAGGAATGGGCCCCTCGGTGGGGCCGAAACCAGCTGCATGCAGCAGATTTCGTAACCCCCCCTTTCCCGATCCCCCCCTTTCGTCCGGCCCGAGCTTGGGGGAGCGGGGGAGTGTTCACTAATGGCTCCCCCCTGCCGTATGGATGCTCACTGGCCCCCGACGGGCAGGAAGGCATCCAGATCCACCGCTCTCCAGGGCCCCAGGGCGCGCACCCAGGGTGTACGCCGGAGGAGGAGGGGAGGAGGAGGAGGAGGAGGGAAGGAGGAGGAGGAGGAGGAGGAGGAGGAGGAGGAAGAGGAGGATGAGGAGGAGGAGGAGGAACAGGAGGAGGAGGAGGAGGAGGAGGAGGAGGAGGAGGAGGAGGAGATAGGATGAAGATAAGACGGAGACTGAGGAGGATGAGCATGAGGATGAGGAGGATGTGTGGGGGTGTTGGAGGAAGAGGCGGGGGAGCAGAACGGGGAGGAGGATGACTAGGCGGAGGATGAGGAGGAGGGGGAGTGAAGTGAAGTTGGACTGGGATAAAAAGAAGAGGATGGGGAGATCCAGAGGTGTACTTGTTGGGGTGCCAGACTGGAGGGTGTGAAGGTCAATTCGATCCTGACCAGGCCTGGATTGCCCCCTTCTGGGGGGCGCCCAGGTTGACGCAGTGAAGGATTTGTTTTTTCGCCGAACCATGGATCTGCGACACCGTCCCTAACGGAGAGTGCCGTTCGTGGAGAACCTGCCAGGTCCCTCCTCGTGCTCCTCCTGCTGCTGCTCCTGCCCATCATCGTGCTCATCCTCCCCGCGGATCCGCCGCCTGCTGCTGCTCTTCCTCGTCGTCCTCTCCGCCCATCAGGGGAACTCCAAGTATCTTTGGAGGCCTTCAGAAAGCTGGACGCAGCTCATCACTCCGACCTCCACCCTCCAGCATCCGGCTTTCCACCTCCACTTCCACCTGCCGACCACCCAGCACTCCGACTCCAGCATCTGGCTTCCGACTCTCCACTTCCACCTGCACCACTTGACTTCCAGCGTCCACCAGCTCATAACTCAACACCCCGACTTCGGCCAACAAGGACTGCAAGCACTGAGGGCCCCCGCCCCCCCGCGCAGGCCCTAAAGGGCCCCGCTCCCGGCGGAACCGCGCGCTCGCCTCCCCTCGCCTCGCCTCGACAGACCTCACGGCTTCCTCTTCCTCCCAGCAGCAGCAGCAGCAGCAGCAGCAGAGGCTCCCTCGCCTCCATGGGGCTTCCCGACGTGGCCCGCCTCCCAGCTCTACGAGCTGACGCACCGCCGCTTCCTGCACGCGGGGCCGAGCAGCTTCCACGCCTTCAACATGATCTGCGTGCGGCAGGACGGCGCTTTGGCCTCCGTCCAAGAGTGTGCTAAGCATTACTCGTCTTACTGCCACGATTCATGAACGTTCGTGCGACAGCTCTTTATTGCCATTATGAATGTTGATATGTGTAGTGCTGCGGCTGTTCTGTTTGTTACTCTTATTATTATATGTGTCATTCGTATCATTGTTATTGTGTTTTTACAATCAGGAATCGTGTGGTTGTTTCAACCATATTCTACTGTTGTGATTGCTAACTGTTGACAATGATGTTATTGCTACAGTTCTTATGATTCTTCTGGCTACCATTACCAATGTTACAAACCAGTATTGTGATTCATCGTATTCGTAGTAATGATATGTGTATTGCTGTTGTTTGTTCCCTACCTAGGCTCTGCCTAGAAGGGTTCTTACTCGGTGTGCTTAAAGGGCCGGGCAGCTTTCCACGCCCCGGGCGGTTCCCCCAGCATCCGCTTCGCGGTTCCCCCAGTGACGTTCCCTTAGCTTAGCGTTGCTTATCTCATCTTAGCTTAGCGCATTCCATCTCAGCTTAGCTTAGCTTCATCTTAACCCAGGTTTATCTTACCTTAGTTTACCTTCATCTTAGCTTCGCTGAACTTTAGCATAGCAGAGCGCAGCGTAGCATAGCAGAGCGTAGCACAGCACAGCGCAGCACAGCATATCATAGCAAAACCCAGCATAGCACAGCATAGCGAAGCATAGCAGAGCATAGCATAGCATAGCGCAGCACAGCACAGCACATCATAGCACAGCGCAGCATGGCATAGCATAGCATAGCATAGCGCAGCACATCATATCATAGCATAGCCCAGCATAGCATAGCATAGCGCAGCATAGCATAGCATAGCATAGCATACATTGGCGCTCCGAAAGTTAATTCCGATTTGAGAAGCACGGCGCCGCGCGAATGCAACGCAAACGCAATTCTGGAAGGGCGCGACAATGCATGCCCCCTGGACACGCGAGAGCAGCCGCGCCCCCGCGCGAACCCCGATCCCGCGCGGGGCGCGTTCCCGTTGACAATGGCTCATCCGGGACACAGTTTCTCGCGCAGGAAATCCTGGGCGGTCTGCCCATCGGCGGCTCCTTAGGACGAGGCCCGGGACCACCGAGACACCGTTTTTTGATAGGAAATTCTAAGCGGTTTGCCCATGCTCGGCTTCTTCGGAGCGGGCCCGACGACCTCGAGAACGATGTTTTTTGCAAGGGGTCCTAGGCGGCTCGCGCATTTTCGGGTCGTTCGAACCAGACCCGAATTTTTGTGGGAACAAGTCCTATGGGATTTGGCCACTTTCAGGTCGGCCGATAAACTTTCCGGGTCGGCGCATGACCGAACCCGGAAGCTTCTTTCGAGGAGGTCCGATGCCGTTTGCTCATTTTCGGGTCAGTACACCGTTTGGGATATAAAGTTTTTAAACTGGGAAGGGGAACCTGGTCCCGCGACCCGGGGCGGGGGTTAGGCTCTGCCCTTGCATTGTACTGGGCCCCTCCGGCCAAACGGGGCGCTGGGCTGCCCATCGGCGCGCCGACGCTGCCCTCGCGACATCGCCACCATCCGCCCTCGGGCCCCCGCGAGTCTTGTCCCGCGCGCGCCACCCCAGATGGCCGCGGCCGGCACGGTGGCGAAATTGGGGGAACTTTCGGAGCGGCGCAGTAGCGCAGCACAGCACAGCACAGCATAGCACAGCGCAGCATAGCATAGCATAGCATAGCATAGCATAGCATAGCAGCAAAACAAAGGCAACACAACATCCGCTTAGCTTAGCTTAGCTTAACTTAGCACAGCGCCGTGCTGCATTAGCATATCATAGCATAACATGCCATAGCCAAACATAGCATAACAGAGCATCGCATAGCGCATCATATCATATCACCGCATAACATCGCATACCATAGCATAGCATAGCGCAGCTTCGCGCAGTTTATCATAGCATAACATAACATCGCATAGCATAACACAGCGCAGCATGACATATCATTTCGAACCATATCATAGCATAACGTAGCATAGCATAACGCAGCATAACGTCACATCACATAACATATCATCGCATATCATACCAGACCATAGCGCATCATAGCATGGCATATCATAGCATAGCATAGCATAGCAACTAATGCTGCTTTCCTAGGGGCTCCAACTTCTAGGTAGGGTCGCACTGAGGTCATGCTACCACTGTTGTTGCTGTTGCTGTCGATGTTGTGGTTGCTGTTGATGGTGGTGTTGCTGTTGTTGTTCTTGTTATTGGTGGTGCTGTTGCTGTCGTTGTTATCAGTATTCCCACGATTTTCAGTATTGATATTCTTCTGATGTTGATGATGAGGAGGAAGAAAAATAAGAGTAGTAGGAGGAGGAGGAGCAGGATAGATAGGGTGAGGAGGGGAGAGGAGGAGCAGGGCTGAAACAGACGAGGGGCGGGGTAGAACAAGGATATAATGATCATGAGGACGGAGGGAGGGAGAGAAAAGGGGACTAGGATTAGGAGAGAGGAGGAAAATGTTAAATCACGTGGGATCAATGTGCGCCTGACAGCACGTGGAACCATGTGCGGTTAGTCGGGGCATAGGCAATAGGCGACATCTCAGGCAATGGGGCTGATCGGGGCTGTTTGGTGGGGCACAACAATGGTCGGCTCAGGGCGGGACGGCCGAACTCGACGACAACCCTCAGCAAGGAGCTATCTGGGGCTTTGCCGGGCCTAGCCAGGGCAGGCGTCTCCGGCGAAAACCAAGCGGCTGGGCTCTTTGGGCCTAATCGTGACATGCAGGGGCACATCGTGTTGGCGACAATCCAGGGCAATGGGGACAGCGGCTGAAGGCGAGGATCACAATCATCAGTCCGGGCATTTTTTGGAAGCAGCGAAGAGATGCTCAGAGCAAGCGCCAGTTGGGGTCTTGCCCTGGGTTGTTTTCTTACCCATCCTTGCGTGGGGCTGCAACCCAGCCTTTGTCCCCAGCCCCCCAGTCATCTTGGCATCGCTCGGACGTGTTTTTTTTTTTTTTTTCTTTTCTCGGCGGGGACCATCGAGGAACATCCTGGATCATCGTGCGAAGAATACACGCCCGAAGCCGAACAATGCATGGGGAATGGACGTCCGAGCAGTAGCGAGTGAAGGGGTCTGCCGACAACGGGCGCGGCGGCAGGCGGTCACTGCTCCACTGGGGCCCCTTCGGTGGAGCTCTCCCTATGGGGGCCCACACAGCGTGTGAGGTGTGTGTGTGTGTGTGTGTGTTTGCGCGTGTGTGCCGAACTGGGCGCGAGGACGCATGCGACCTTTGTTGTCACTGGGGCCGTCGGTGCAGCTGCCCGTGGTATATAGCCGCCCTCGCAATAACTCAAACGCAAGGTTTTGCTGGGCGACGCGCGAAGCGCGGCCCACAGGGTCCGGTTTTTTCGCTCGCAGTCGCCAACTTCGGCGCGGTCATTGACATTTTGGGATCCTGGGGAGCCGCCACGTCGCGTAAAACCTTTGCGTCTGAATTTCGAGGGGCGATGCAGGAAGCTGCGCCGATGGCCCCAATTTTGTAGCGAGCTGGGCGCGGGGGCTCTTGTGACATTTGCCACGGAGGCCGTCGGTGCAGGTTCCAATGGGGCCACGTGATGTTCGGGTGGTGTGCCGGGAAAGGCGCGGGGACGCGTGCGACTTTTGCTAACGAGGCCTTCGCTGGAGCCTCCTGAGGGGGGGCACGGGGCGTGTGATGGGTGTGCTGGAGCGGGGGCGGTGGCGCAGGCAAGCTTTGTCATTGAGGCCGTTGGTGGAGCGTCCTATGGAGCCACGGTGCGTGTCAGGGGCGTGCCGAAAGACAGCTGGTGATGATGGTGGTGGCGGTAATGTGGGTGGTGATGGTGATGGCGATGATGGTGGTGATGCCGACGATGATCATGATGAGGAGGATTACGATGGTGCAGCTGATGCTGACTGTGGTGATGTTGGTAATTCGGATGGTGATGATGATGATGATGGCGATGATGATGATGATGATGATGCTGCTGCTGATGATGATGATGATGATGATTTGTAATGATGATTGGTGATGATGATGATGATGATGATGATGATGATGATGATGATGATGATGGTAATGATTATGCTGATGATGATGGTGATGCTGATGGTGATGATGATGATGATGATGTTGATGATGTTGACGTGCGGAGGACAGAGGTAAGGAGATGGCGGCAGCGGGGGTGCGTGGACGCGGGGCGCTGCGGATTCAAAGCGAAGACCCAACACCACCGTTCGGTAGACATGTGTTGATGCTTCTTCCAAACTCTTCAGGAGGGAAAACAGCACACGGACACAATTAATCGTCGAATCCCCAGGACATGTGGGAAAATATGGGAAGTGGGGGGGAAGGCGAAAACCCCCAAATTATGGGAACACATTGGGAATATTTCTATGTGTGTGTGTATGTATTTGTGTGTCCTGGGGCCCCCTTCAATTCTCACGAATACCAGCATGGGAACCGCATGCGCGACACATTTTAGATCCGCATTTCACCACCATTCTCCTGAAACCCATCTGAAAAGCCAACTGCTTGCAATCTGCTTTCGTAGAATCATGCCAGAGGATCTTCACGCGCGCCAGTGAACATCGGCGCCATCATCGAGATGCGCTCGTGGGCCCATCATCTTGCATGTTGCATCCTTCTCATGGGACCCACTGAACAAGACATGTGGGCCAGTTGCGCGCCCTCGCGCGCCCGCAGGACAATATCATTTAAAACACCCCATCTGTCTTTGCCATTAAAGGCCGAGCTGTTAGAACGCGTATGAGCAACACATGGCTCATTTGTGTCTAAACTGATCAAGTTTGCCGTCGGAAATTCGGCGCGCGCGAGCGCCTAAGCTTATCAACTCCACGATCTGCATGTGCGCATGAGCTCATCCACTTGCGCGTCCTCCCGACGTGGTTCAGCGGACAAGTGCATGATGTGCTCAACACCCTGACAAGCTGTGGATGCTACTTTCTGCTGTGTTCGGCACGATGGGTCTGCTCGAACGAAATCGGTTTACAAGGAGTGACGCTTAATGGGCGGGCGGTCGGGTGGGTCTGATTGCGTGCCGCACCAAGCCAAGCTATACACATCGTTCCTGTCTGATTCTTCGACTGTTCTTTGATTTTTTGCGAGGCCAAGATCCTTTCATTTCTAATTTCTAATTGTTCTATCCTGGGACTCTTCCTGGCCACTAGGGGGCCAGGAACAATTAGAAACGAGCACCATTAGAAATGAGCACGATTCGAAATGAACGACGTGTACAAGGAGCCAGGCTTTATGGGCGGGCGGTCGGGTGGGTCTGATTGCGTGCCGCACCAAGTCGAGCTACACGATTCTACGGGCGCCATACGGGAGACCTTACCAGAGACCAGATGGCACCGGCCATGGCCAGAGACCACGAGAAGGCATCACGGGCCACGGCCAGCGGCCATACATACACGACGCGCCACGACCATCGGGCCGGACGAAAGGGGGGGGATTGGGGAAGGGGGGGTACGACATCTGCTGCACGCAGCTGGTTTCACCCCCGCCGCGGGGCCCATTCCTCGATGCATAGCCGCCTCCGGCGCCGGGAGGCGCCGGAAAAATCAGCTACGCGAGCTGATTTTTTCAAGCACCCCCTTTGGCATCCCCCCCTTTCGCCCGGTTCGAGACCAGGAGACTACGGCCACGGAGCACGGGCCACGACCAGTGGCTGCGAGCCACGGATGCCGGATCGGGCAGTCCACCCACTGGCCTTCGAATGCTTACGCAGGACGATTGCAAACAAGCTGCGCGTGGAGCAGCCGACGTGCAAACAAACCATACAGTCGGGGCCCTGAAGAAGGAACGCTTTTCGTTGGGGAGGGGCTCGGTGTTCCTTGATTGTTTTACAGCTTGCGTCGGGTTCCCCTTAGCTTTTTGTATGGGAAATCAAAGTTTAACTTATGGAAACGAGGGGCCTCGTTCCTTATTTAGGGTTCCTTAGGTCAACGCCCCGACTGTAGACGACACCGTTGCGGCAGAATATCCTGAACGGCTTCACACAGTTACTATGGGGGCCACTGCTGGTGACCAGGATGGGGTGGCCACGGTTGTGGGGGCCACGATGGGGGGATCGGGATAGGAAGTCCGATAGGCATGGGAAACTGGGATAGGGATAGAGGGCTAGAGATAGAAGGGTAGGGATTTTGGAATAGGGGTAAGGATCGGGTTGGGGATGGGAATCATGATGCATGCATACATATATATATACACATCTTTATACATATATACACATCAACATATGTATAACTATCCCTCTATGTATACACTATCTGTACACCTAGGTTGTCAGGACAGGGATGAAAGAGGAAGGGATAGTGTTGGCTGGATGCAGAGGGATGGTGATTGGGACAGACATAGGGATACGGATGGGGAGAGGGATAGGTTTAGACAGTAGGAGACAAAGAGAGTCAACGGGAGGACATCGGGATATGGCCTGGGATAGGGATAGAGATAGGAATCGGGACAGATACAGATAGTGATAGGGATCCGGGTATACGATTGGAGGCAAAATGGAGACCATGGGAGACAGTCGGAGCCACCGGGAGACAACGGAAGACAAAGGGATGCCATAGGAGACAACGCCGCCTGGCCGATTCCGGATCTGGCAGCGCACCTCTCGGTTTCTCATTTGTATGGAAGCCTTGCAGACAAGCTGTCTAGGGAACCACGGCAAGAGACCCCGAGCATGAGGCCTCGAGCCACAACCATAGACCACGACACGAGACCACTACCAGAGACTGCGAGCCACGACAAGAGGCCACGGACTTGGTCTCGCGTGCACACATGTTTACTTCTCTCTCTCTCTATCTATATCTCTATGTATACAGGTATGTATATATATTTATATACATATGTATATATATACACGCATGTGCGTATGTACATATACACGCGTGCCGGTATACATATGCTGAGCCCTTGCAGACAAGCTGTTCAGCGAGCCATCCAGAAGGACGAATATTTACTGTCCTAGTGGTCGTAGTGGTAGTGGTAGTCCGGCGGCCCCCCCCCTCCCCGCTGCCCCTCCTCCTCCTCATCCTACTCCTCCTGACACCTACTCCGCCATTCCTTTTCCTTATTCTTAACTTCTCCCTGTCACACTCCGAGGCCAGTTTTTAGGGCGTGCCCGGCGTTTCGCCTGAGACTTCCTCACCATTTATGACTCTGAAACTTTAAAAGTGACAACAACTTCACATATGGAGGGCGGGTCGAATTCAAAATCTGGCTTTCGCTTAAGCGCCGCGTGCATTCGTTCTCAAAAATGCAAGAGTTTCACGGATTGAGGGCGGGTCGTTTTCAAAATATGGCTCTCGCTTTAGCGTCGCGTATACCCACTTTTAAAACGTGCAAGAGATTCACGGGTTGAGGGCAGGTGGTTTTCAACATGTTAGTCTCCTCTTAGCGCCGCACACACTCGTCTTAATTATTTGTAAGAGTTTCACGGATTGAGGGCGGTTCTTTTTCAACATGTGGTTTTCGCATTAGCTCCGCGCACATTCGTTTTAAAACATTGCAAGAGATTCACGGGTTGAGGGCAGCTTCTTTTCAACATGTGGCTCTCCCATTAGCGCCGTGCGCATTCGTTTTCAACGTTTGCAACAGTTTCACGGATTGAGGGCGGTTCTTTTTCAACATGTGGCTCTCGCATTAGCGCCGCGCATTTTCAAACGTTGCAAGAGTTCCACGGGTTCCCATGATCAACGTACCAGAACTGGTGTTCCGGAAAGATTCAGGATTTTGCGGGTGCAGCAGTTATGTTGATTCGTGGTGTTGAAGTCCCAAACAGTTTTCTGGCACGATGCCGGATCGTCAAGACGCAGCAGTCAGGTTGATCCGTGGCGTTGAAATCCCGAGCACAATGTTTTGGCATGCTTCAGGATATTCAAAGAGTTGTCTTCCAACGAGGCAGTTCCCTCAATGGAAATGAACCCTTGTAGGGGCCTGTGAAGAGGGAGCTTGGAGGGAGGGTCAATTACGACATCGTTCATGATCTTGCTCTTGGGTTTACACTGGTCCTCCTCCTCCTTCCCCTCCTCCTCCCTCTCCTCCTCCTCCTCCTCCTCCTCCTCCTCCTCCTCCTCCTCCTCCTTCCTCCTCCTCCTCCTCCTCCTCCTCCCCCTCCTCCCCCCCCCCCCCGCGCCGAGGCCTCCGCTGCGCCTCCGCCGCCGCCCCTCCGCCGCCCGCCCCTCCTCGGCGGCGGGCCGCCCCTCCTCGGCGGCGCCCGCCGCTGCCCGCCCGCCTGCCGCGCCTCGGCGCGCCGAGGCCCCCGTGCACGCCGTGCCCTGGGTGCAGTGGCCCGGCGGCCCGTCGCCCGCCGACGGCGGCGGCGGCGGGGCGTCCCCGCAGGCGTCCCCGCAGAAGGGGGGGGGAGGGGGGGAGGGATGACGATGACGATGACGATGATGATGGGGAGGAGGAGGATGGTGAGGATGATGATGATGATGATGATGATGATGATGATGATGATGATGATGATGATGATGATGATGATGATGATGATGATGATGATGATGATGATGATGATGATAATGATGATGATGATGATGATGATGATGATGATGATGATGATGATGATGATGATGATGATGTTGAGGAGGAGGAGGAGGAGGAGGAGGATGCTGATGATGAGGAGGAGGATGATGCTGATGATGATGATGATGATGATGATGCTGCGGGTGATGGTGGTGGTGGTGCTTATGATGACGATGCTGCTGTTGCTGCTGCTGGTGATGATGATGGTGGTGGTTATGATGATGGTGATGCTGGTGACGCTGCTGATGCTGATGATGGTGATGGTGATGCTGATGTTAATGATGATGGTGCTGATGCTGCTCATGATGATGATGGTGATGAGGATAATGATTACGATGATGCTGGTGGTGCTGATGTCGCTGATAAGGATGATGATGATGCGGTTGCTGATGCTGATGATGACGATGCTGCTGACGATCATGGTGGTGCTGATATGGTTGATTCCGATGATGTTGATGATGGTGGTGGTGATGGTGGAGATGATGGTGAAGATGGTGGTGGTGAGGTAGATGAGGATGATGAAGGTTAGAATGCGGATGATGCGACTGAGCATGATTGTGAAGACTACGATGTTGATGACGACTCTGAATTATCATGGTGAAGGTTCTGCTGCTGCTGGTGATGATGACCAGGGTATTGAGCACGATGACGATGCTGATCATGGTTATGATGATGAATAGGCTGACGTTCCAGGTGATGAGTATGACGTTGATGACGATGTTGCTGATGATGGTGGGTATGCTGATGTTGATGCTGATGATGACGATGGTTATGATAATGCTGCTGCTGATGACGACGATTATGATGTTGATGTTGGTGATGATGGTGATGCTGCTGATGATGCGGATGATGCTGATACTGATGATGACCAAGAAGGCGATGATGGTTTTGACGGTTGTGATGGTGGTGAATGTTGATCATGTTGAGGTTGGGGGTATCGATGGCGATTCTGTTGATGCTAATGGTAGTTATGATGATTGCAATGCTGCTGGTGATGGCAATGGTGACGGTGGTGGTGGTGATGATGATGCCGGTGATGAGGCTGCAACGGTGATGATGACGACGATGATGACGACAATGATGACGATGATGATGCTGACGCTGATGTTGCTGATGATGCTAAGGTTGTTGTTGATGCTGGTGGTGGTGATGATGATGCTGATGATGAGGATGATGATGATGATTAGGATGATGCTGATGATCCTGAGACTGATCATGATGATGCTGCTGATGGTGATGCTGATGTTGCTGATGATGATGAGGATGTCGATGATGATGATGCTGATGATGATTCTGATCATGATGATGATGATGATGGTGATGATGATGCTGATTATGCTGATGATGATGGTGTTGGTGGTTGCGGCGGGATGATGATACTGCTGCCGATGATGTTGATGATGAGGAGGATGATGCTGTTGATGATGATGGTGATGATGATGATTATCATGCTGCTGCTGCTGATGATGATGATGAGGAGGAGGAGGAGGAGAAAGAGGAGGAGGAAAAGGAGGAGGAGGATGGGGAGGAATGGGCGGAGGAGGTGGACGAGGATGAGGACGATGATGAAGAGGGCTTGGAGGGTGGGAAGAGGGGGGACGAGGAGTATGATAATGACGAGAAGGGACCAGATGGGTAGAAGGAGGAGCATGGCAACGACGAGGAGGGGGATGAGGAGCAGGGCGCGACACACCCTGGGGGCACTCCCGCGCTCCGGGTCCTCGCACCAGGGCTCCCAGGGCCTGTGGCGGCCGCCGCGCCTCGAATCGACCTCCTCCCCCCCCAGCAGGAAGACAAGGGAGCTCCGCCGCCCCCACGGCGGTGGTGCCTCCCGGGCCGAGAAGATTCGCAACGGCCATCTCCCCAGAGCCCGTCGTCATGCTCACGCGCATCTGGACGGCCGGTTTTTCCAAGCCCTTGGCCTCTGCAGGCCCGTTGGGGGCCCGAGGGCCGTCGAGGACAGCCCAGGACGCAAGGCGGTCCCTGGAAGGGCGTCGAGAGGCCCAGGGGGCCACGGTACGAAACTTACACCGCGGCGGCAGAGGACCCCTAAAATAGCAGACTGAAGCAGTGAAGAGAGCGTCATATTGCACGGTGAGGGCGGGAGACCGTGCGGGAGATTATGCGGGAGATCATTCGGTAGACCATGCAGGAGATCATGTGGGAGACCATACGGGAGGCCACACGGAAACCGAATGGGAGACCGTGCGGGAGATCACACGGGAGACCACGACCCACCGACTGCGCATCTGGAAAAAAGGTGGCGCCGAGCAGAGTGTGCCTGCACGTGAATCATTTGGCAGAGCCCCCACGCCACGAAGCACGACCTGCTGGCATAGTCTTCTTCGGGGTTCAAGGCGAAACCCTCAGCTGGGGCATGGATCTTGGCCTCAACCGTGCCTACGAGCTCGCGCGTTTCTTCGGCACTGCCGCGACATTGGGGGCAGGCAGTTGCCCTCTTGTGCCCGCGTGCCCGGCCTGCCCACCGTGCCCCCGCGGTGCCAACGCGTGCCTAGGCGCGCCCCCGCTCCCAGAGCCTAGGTGCGGGCTCGCGAAGCCAAAGGCAGCGGCCACGAACGGGCGGCTGTGGGCGTGGGCTGGGTTGGTGCTGAGCTTCGGGTGCGTGATCGCTGCCTTCAGTCACCTTCGAGATGGCGGCCGTGTGGGGCGCTGGGGCGATGCCGATCCCCCTGTGCCGCCCGTGCCAGTGGCAGCGGCGGCGTCAAGAGTGGCGTAGGCTTACGTAGGGTACGCGACCCCAGAGACCTGGTGGCACCAACGAATCTGCCTCGGCGTGCTGGCGTCATCGGTGAGTAGGTTCGTGATAGTCACGCCCGACGTTCAGGTGTACGATGAGTACAATGGTCCGTCCAACGTGGGCGTCGTCGGAGTCAGGTTCTGCAGCCGGCGGTGGCCTCCGCGGCCTGGCGTGCCCCGCGCCCTGTGCTACCGCTTCGCTGTGGAGCCCACCGCCGCCCTGGTCGCTAACTAGAGCGCCGAGGGGACCGCCTACGCCGTGCAGTTGGGGACCACGCTGGCGCCTCGCCCCCCGCTGGTGGACGGCAGCGCCACCCCGTCGATCGGAGGGGCCTTGCCCGCGGCCGCTGGGGGGGGGGGCCCCGTGGCCGCGGCCGTGGCGCCAGGTGCCGTGGGCACCGCTGCAGCGTGGGCGGGCAGTTGGCTCGCGGTCGAGACGCGCGCCGGGCTCACTCGGGGAGCGGAGGTGGTCCTTTTCGGGCCAGACCATCGTGTGGGGCTCGCGGGCCATGCAGCGCCACGGCGCGCTTCCCGAGTGGATCCCGCTCGCTTTTGTGCCGACGGGCGGAGAGGTCGAGTTCGCAGGCTCCGAAGCTGCAGGGGGCGCCAGGCTGATGGGGATCACCATGCATCGACGGTCGGGGGGGGTCCATCGACCACCATCGTTTTTGAGTGTGCAGAGCCTCAAGACAGAGTTCTGGGGCGTGGTCGAGCACCGCATGATAGTGCAGGCCGTGGACACAGCCTTGACGCGCGATGAACTGGACATCGTGAACCTGGGAGCCTTCGACCTGGTGATGGCGAAGGCCCAGCTCATCGCGCACAGTTACTCTGAGATGGGCGAAGGAGGACGCGGTGGCTCGGACGGCGGCGAGCACGACAAGGACGACAAGGACGACGAAGGCACAGGCAAGGGCCGCAGAGCCCTTCGGGTCGGCCTATACGACGAGGCTCACATCTTCACGGGGGTCCACGGGGAGTTCGGCGACATCATGGTGGCCCCCAGCTCCTAGACTACGCGTCGAAGGAGGTGGAGCGCGACGCGAGCGTGCCCGAACATATCCGCGAGGTCCGCGAGGGGCGGGCCGCGGCCGCCAAGTAGCCTTACGAGGAGACTGCCCGACCAGGCTCACGGCTTGGTGGGGCGCCCCCGGAAGGAGCACGACCTCTTCTTAACCTACCGAGGACGGCCGCCTTTGCTCGCCAGCGTTTCAATGCGTCGTGCCAGGACCGGCGCGGGTTGGAGCGGGCGAGTGACATGGTGCGCGCGCTCAACGAGATGAGTGCCTGGCCGTTCAGCAGGGACGAGCAGTGGGAGATGGTGTCCGAAGGTAATCAGTTGGTGCTTGAACGCCGTGCCCAGGCAGGGAAGCCTCGCGGGAGCTTTTGGCCCTCCGGGGCTACGGCGGGGGAGCCGCAAACCTGGCCTGCCTGTAAGTTGAGCGACTGGCTCTCCCTGGCCGAGGGCACCGCGCGGTCCGCTCGGTGAGCTGAATGGGCCAGCTGGCGCGGAAGTTGCAAGGGCTCTTCAGGAGAAGCTTCAGAAGCTTCTGCCGAGGGAGACGGCGGGGCAGCGCGAGAAGGACTCGAAGCCGCGGGCAGTTTCAACGGATGCTCGCTTGCGTCATCGCCGCCGATATGTCAGCATGGCTCGGCGGCTTGAGAAGCGCGGGTTCGTCGAGTGGATGGAGGGGCGCGTCGAGGGCGCGGGCGTGCTCGCCGCGCGCAGGAAGGGCGACCAGCAGCGGGCGATCATCGATGCAAGGTGGGCCAGCGCTCACTTCGCCGACCCGCCAGGTGTGGAGCTGACCACTGGGCAGAGCCTCGGGGTGCTCGAGGTGGGCGCTGGCGCGCCTATCTGGCTTGGCGGCGTGGACGTCGTTCTACGCGCTGGAGCTTCGCGCGGAGTTCCGAGGTCACTTCGCTCTCCCCCGCCTGCGTGCTCGAGATGTTGGCGCGTCGAGTCCAGTCGAGGGCGAGGTGGGCGGGGGCGAGGCCGTCTTCCCCTGCATGATGGTCGTGCCCGCGGAGTGCAATCGGGCGCGCGTGTCCTGTCAGGTGGCGCGCGAAGCCATGGTCACCAAGATCGATGGAATCTCGGGGGCCAGCGCGATGGCGGACGGCTCCGAGGCGCCGCTCATGCAGCCGCTGGCGCGCGGAGTATGTTGACAACTTCGCGCCGTTCTCGGCGCCGGAGGGCCGCGCGGCTGAGGCAGCTGGACGGGTCAGGAGGGAGTTGAGATGGGGCCTTCCTCGCCCCTTCTGCGCCGTAACCTCGGGGCGGCGTGATCGAGCGCCGCGCGTGTCAGCGACGCGTCGCCGCGGGGCCGCGGCGTGGTGGGCGGGTGGGGGGGGGGGGGGCGGGGGGCCCCGCTTTTCGCGGCGGCCGGGCGCGCGGGCGAGCGTAGGCGGTTCTCCTTGTCCGAGGATCTCGGCGCCCGAGCCCGCGCGCGCTGCGAGCTGCAGCGCAACGAGCTGCGCGCGCAGGAAAAAGATCACCAATGGCCAGAGACATACCCCGACTTCAGGTTTCAGCGTCATCAGTTCAGAGCTTTTGAACGAAGAGTGGAGGGTCGCGTTTGCTGGTCGCCGATGGAAATCCGGGCGCGCGCCGCTTCTTGAAGCCAGGGCGGCCCCGCGGGCCTTGAAGCATCAGTTGCGGAGCTTCGGCAAACAGCTTCTGTTCATCGTCGACGCCATGGGCATCGCGCTCATGCTAGCGAGGGGGAGATCCTCCCCGTCCCCACTGAACCGCAGTTGTAGACAGCGGGGTGCCCTGTGTTTAGCCGCCCATGCGATGCCCGGCGTGCGTTAGATCGCGAGCGAGCTGAAACCGGCCGGCGAGCCCTTCCGCCCGCGCGCATCGTCCTCATCGGCGCTTCATCGTCATTCTCTCGGTGCTGCGCCGCGCCCTGGCTCGGGCCGCGCCTTCCGTTGAGCTCGGGCGACGCCCGGGGCCGACGGGGCCGTCGAGGGCAGCGGCGGCCGCCGGGGCGCGTGGCCGGGCGACGGCGCAGGTCGGGGCGGTCGCTGGACGCGGCCCGCAAGCGGCCGCGGCCAGGGCCACGCGCGCGGCCCAGGGGCGACAGAGGACGGATGTGGCTGCGAAGTACCGGGCGGCGGACGGGAGGAGCTTCCTGGAGGCGCGCTCGGCGGCGCGTCCAGTGGAGGTGCCGTGCAACACGCTGGTTGACGATTTCGAGCGCTGGGCCCAGGCCGAGAGCCCCCTGCTGAGCTCGCCGAGGGCGCGAGGCCCTGGCGAGCTACGCCGCCCGCCTGTCGTTCGAGGGCCACTCGTCGCCTCGGCGAGACCAGGGCGGCGGCGGCCTTCCGATCGATGGCTCGACGCGCCCATGTCGGGCGCGAAGCTACGGGGGGTCCGGCGGGCCCAGATCGGGTTCTACAAAGCGGCGCCCGAGAGGTCCAGGATGCCGATGCCGCTGCCGTTGGCGGCCGCGGTAGCCAGCCAGCTGGTCCCCCAGGGGCGGCCGCTCTACATGGGTGCCGCGGTGATGCTGCAGTTCGTCCTGTACCTGAGGCCCTGCGACGTGCTGCCCGTGTGCCGGGAGGAGCTGATCCCGCCTTCCCCTTCGAGCGTCGGAGGGCTCGGGTGGCGGGGCGTGCTGCTCGATCGGCAGGGGGCGGATATGCCCAGCACGACGGGCGTCCTCGACGAGGCCATGGTGTTTGACGACGCGGAGTACGACGACCTGTGCCAGGCGCGGGGCTACCTGCTCAATTCCTCCACGGCAAAGTCGTCCCCGATAAGCTACTTCGAGAAAGCGAGCGCCTTCGCGAAGGCCGCAGGGCCCGTCTCGCGCGCGCCGCTCGGGGTGGCGCGCCCGCGCCAGCTCGGGCGCGGAGGCGCGGGCCGGCCACGAGGTGGCGAGCGGGCGCCGGCCGATCGCCGACGCTCAGCTACAGGGCAGGCGGTTCAGCGCCGCCAACTTGAGACGCTGCGAGAAGGGGGGGCGCGTGACCGAGATGCTGCGGCGCCCCCCCCCCCCCCCCCCCCCCCCGAGCAGCTGCAGCGCGCCCGCGAGTGCCGAGGGCAGATTGGCGCGATCCTCTGCGGCGTCTCGCCGCCTGTGCGAGCCAGGCGCACCGCGTGGCGTCGCCCTCGGGCTCTTCTCCGGCAGCGGAGGTTTCTCGCGAGCTTGGCGCGAGGCTCCTGCGAGGCATTCCGATCTTCCAATGGGGCACTGGCCGCGGTGAGCTGTTCGATTTGCTGAAGCCAGTCTTCAAATGTTTATCTGAGGCTGGCTGATGTCCAGCACCGTGGGAGCTGCGTGGATAGGCCTGTTGCGTGCGAGCTGGTCCTCCGCCCGTCGGTCGGACGGCAGCGGCCCGCCTGCCCATCGCAGTCGCGAGTTCGTCTGGGGTTTCCCTGGGCTCTCGCCTAGCGACGAGAATAAGGTCCAAGAGGGCAGCCGTCTCATGCGTTTTTTTTTTTTTTTTTTTTTTTTTTGTATTCCAGTGGATCGCGAGAATCCTCATTTCTCTCGGCTTTGGGTCGCCCCGCCCCTCCAACAAAACCGGCCGTGGTCCGAAGCCCAGGAATATTTTTTACCGATTGTAGCCGCTGGTCCAAGCCGTGGCGAAGAACTAGATGTTTAAGCCTCTTTGTGGACCCGTCCGCGGCCGGACGACGCCGCAAGCCTTGCAACGGAGTCTGTAGTCGCACTACTGAGTGAGCCTTATATGATTCTGTGCGGCCGACAAGACAAGGCATTTCTGACCGCTGGGCCCTATCCCGAATACCTAGCCTACGAAACTATGTGAATGCTTCGCCAGTGCCATTGCCCACAAGAGGGCTCTCGCTTTGTTTGAATTCGGCTAGTCGGCAATGTGGTATTCTGGCAACGGCGAGATCCCAGTGTTTTGGTGATGTGTGGGGACGGCTGCAGGCCGCGTCGGGCCCGCCTGGGCGCTGACCCTTCGCGCGTGAAGCTGAGGCTCGCTTCTTTCCCTTCGGACAAAACGATCCGATCGTTTGGCGCGGGGGGAGCGACAGCGGGCCGATGTCAGTGCTTGCGCGTAAATTATTTCGCTGAACCCAAACGCCGCCAACCACGACTTGCTTCCATAGTCCCCTCTCCCTCCCTGCCCCGTTCGACTCTCGCAGCGCTCTCTTGTGATGTGTGGGGCCGGCTTTACGTCTCATCGAGCCCACCTGGACGCTGACCCTTCGGGCGTGAAGCTGAGACTCGCCTCTCCGCCCTCGCACAGAAAGATCCGATCGCCTGGCTTGGGGGACGGCAGCAGGCTGAGGTATATACCGATGTATTACACACATGTGTATGTTCACTTGTGTGTATATGTACCTGCATATGCATATTTACATCTGTATATACATGCGTGAATGCAGCTTGTGTGCAAGGGTCATATTATGTGGCTCTGGCCAAAAAATAACTTCAGGGATGCATGTCGCCAGAGGCTCTGGGCTCTGGCACCAGAGAGGCACGGGGGCTCCGTCCCTTCAGCGGGAGCCCCTCCGTCACCAGGCAGGTTCGAAGATGCTTGGCACGACGCAGCGGCGATGGCGACTCCAATGCCTCCATCCCCATCATGATGTCGCGCGCCGCCGCTCTCCCGCAGGTGCTCTGCGT